TAAATAGTAAGCCATAAAATGTTTGACTGAACAAACTACAGTAATCTGACACGTCTCCAGATTAATGTAGATACCATCTTATTTTTTAACAGGCAATTTGACTTGTTCTTTGATACAAGCCACACTGTGATTGATGTGACACGCACACATGCATAACTTCCTCACTCACCGATCACATAACCCTTCCAACCCCCAAGAGGAGTTTTTGCTCAAAAATACTCAAGTTAATTAAGAGACCTTTTCGCATTTTATTCGAGTCGTAAGTTTACCCTTTTTACACAACACAACACTACTTCATCAAAAATAGAAAGAAAGAGGAAAAAAAACCCCTCTGACACTTTGAAAGTCTGATTTAATTAAATTGCACTTTAACTTGTTACCACGCAGTCTTCAAAGAAGATTTGAGCAGTTTTCATACTTTTTATCTTTAAAAATATGGGACTGAAATGAATGTCATCAAATGAAACTATTGAACTGCTACTGCAGAGACGTAAAAACCGTCCAGAAATGAAAGCTGCTTTTTTGTTTAATATCCTGGAAACAATAGCCGATAACTTGTCAGCTCTAATTGAATTTACTCCCATATAAAAAAACAAAAGTGATAAGTTACCATTTGTTAACTAAAGATAGCAAACATCTTGTGGGAAAGAGTGGTGACGATTCGTCAGCTCTAATTGAATTTACTCCTATGTGAAAAACAAGTGTCAAATTACCCTTTGTAACTTAAAAATAAAAATATCTCGTTATATTTACCTGCAACAAGAAGAAAGCAATTGTTACCTGCACTTACTATTGTAAAGGTTAGAACTGTTTCAAATATAGTCTCGTCTCCTCTAAAACATGTCCTAAGAACTAGAAGCAACGATTGGTGATCTCTAATTGAATTTACTCCTTGTGAAAAACATAAGTATCAAGTTACCTTTGTCATTAAAAATGAAAATATCTCGTTCCATTTGTATACTACTAACTCATGAACTGTTTCAAATCTCAAGGCTCATCTCGTTCATTTAACTAAAATCCTCAGCCTAACCCACAGAAAATGTTGAAGTACCCCTATATATGAATACTTCCTCCTCTTTTATAGAAGAATAAATATGGCTGTTCTGAACTGTATCGGGATCAAATCTTCTTACATACCATTTACCTTTACAACAAGAAATTTGATTGGCTGTTTATAGTAGATCCAATCTGATTGGTGTGACATACCTACATCTCGCACTCACTCACTCACTCATCCATTGACCCATCCATAACATACCCGACACGCCGACTAAGAGGTACTTTTTTTTTTTTACAAGAAAATAACTCAAAAATGGTTGAGGAAATTCAACTTACAGGAGTTCTGTAAATATATTTTGTAACGTTTTGCTAACAACACTGGAGTATGTTTATAATGTATGATTCATGTTAACTGTAGAAGTACTTTAGGCATGCTTGCTGGTATGATGAATCCCTAGGGGCTATTAGGCTATTTAAGATTCTGTAAGTTATGCAAGAGCCACTCGAAGGCATCTCTTTCAACTTTGCTTTATTGTTTATTCACTGCTGTAATTTCTTTATGGTGATGATGTAAACGCTCGCTGTATCAATAAACTAGATGCCCGCCCCTGATGCTGTATTGTGTTTATTAAGGTTAGTTACAAAATATTTTATAATTGTTTCTGGGTGATTAGAGTATAACAGATATTTTTTTTGGGGGGGAGGGGGGGAGAGAAGGAGGGGTGGTTAGAATGATTTTGGGGCTAGTAGAACCATAGTAACTGTTAGAGCTTGTCCCAAAATTTGTTTTTCTTTTTGCACCCTGTTTGAATGTTGCATAAACAGAGAAAATTTAAGAGTGCCCTCCAGCTAGTTTATTGGCTTCTGATTTGGTTTACCATTGCTCTTTTTATAATCTTGTTATACAAAAGGGTGACATATTTTCCCTTCAAACTCTTTAAAATACAACACAATTGCCTTGAACTTCCAGATTTATCATGTGTGGGTTGCAGCACTTTTCAAGACTTAGATTTTGACAATTCATTATAGACTATGTATGAGTAGTCTCTCTTTCGATTAGTCCGTTGAGCTTGACCGTAAATATGTTATATGCATTATGCACAATAAACAAACTAAGCAAAATATGGACTACTCATAGTCTTACTGTAAGTCACAGTAACCAGTCTAAAACCATTCTACAATCACGGTATCAAAATACTGCCCAATCAATGGTGAACATGTTATCGTTTTAGAAGAGACAAAGATATCCATACCAACAGTCTGACCTGTTAAAAACACCCTTACTTTATGGCAACTTCCACTAGCAGGCAATATCAACCAAACCGTGTAGTGTGATTGACCATTTGAGCGGCAGGATGGGGTTATCCTCCTTGCTTGAGATTGCCCATTGTGTTGCAGAAGAAAAATGGATGGCCCACTGATTATATATATTGACCATGACCACGAAATGAAACAAATAAACTTCTTTAAAACTTTTTTTGACATTTTATTGCTTCTTTTTCACATCTCTAATTACAATTTCTTTAAAATTGTTTGAATTCGATGAGGATTTCTTCATAAATTGCTACAAACTCATTGCAATCTTCCACATTTCCACTCTATACTGCACTGCATCCTGTCAGCACCATTCTTAAATAGCGGCTCTAACAACTTGTGTACTGGTTGTTATCGGTTCTTGGTCATTATAGAATCTGAGGAACACCAAGGGCAAAACCATTGAACACTAATGACACCAAACAACAAAGAGTATTACTTACACCCCTTTAATTACTACAGTGTAGATTCGTATAATTACTACATCACATCTCATTTGCATATTCATAAGGCCTCTTCCAGAAATTTATGGCTAGTTTTATCAAAGAGTATCAACAATAGAAGTTATCAAAAAATATTTTTTCAAATATTATTTTCTCTTTCAAGTATTCTCATGAAATGACAAAATACCACTCAAGGCATAAATGGAGTAAGACTGATGTATCATAAGATTGATCTATCTTTTTTATTGTATTTTTCAGAACAGTGCTTGGTAAGGAACATTTTCGCGAAGTGTCAAAAAAACTCATTCGGCAAGTTTAATTTTTGAGGAATCACCTCCAGTTTTAAGTTTGCATCATTCTTTGCCCAGCTCAAGTGAAGAGCTGTGCTAGTCAACTGGGATATATTTGCCTTTTTTAACTCAAGTTTTAATCAAACTTTCACATATTTTGGTCCTCTAAATACTAAGTTAAGGGCTTCACATTTTGCATTCCCAAGTTACTTTGGTTTCCTCATAATGTTCACAAAATGTTGCATATTTAAGAAAACTAGATTTGGATGTGAAGTGCTGTCACTTGCACTTAGCGGGGTTGTTAGTTAAGTCATACTTACCTCTGTCACAATTCCGGCAGCAATAGTCTCACTGCCATAGCGCAGCATAAATCTTCCAAGATCTTTGTAGTCTTTATACAATTCAACACAAACTGGTTTGTAGGTTTGAATAACCACCTCAGCATTAGAATTCTTTGTTAAACATCTGGCAGAGACACATCAAAAAGTATCAGCAAATATATTATGTTGAGGACTAAAGCATAAAGAACGATTTTATGTAACTGCACATATGCTTGGAACACTTGACAAAATGCCATGTAACAAATTATTTTGGAGTATGGAAAGTCGTTAATAGATTTTCCATTCCCCTCCTGCAAAATATTGGCATAGTTTGGATGGATCAACAGCCTGGCTTTGAGGTTGAGGTTCCTCAAAGCTCACAGTTTTCCTCAAGCTATACTCTCGGAAAACTGTTTATTTCTGGGAACAGATAATGTCCGCGGACAAATATATCCGAGCATATTTTTGCTCACAATGGAGGCTATTGTTTATTTAACAGACCTTTACATGCTCTTGCTCTTGTCCAATCATTGAAATACATGATCGACAACAATCAGTATCTATCAATATCATTATTAATCAATTGGTATTGATAATCAATGGCCAATCAATGAAGAGGATTTGTGTGACCTTTTACTGATTGTCATTGATTTCTAATGACAACAGATAGCCTAATTGGTATCGATTTTTGTTGCAAATTTGCAAATTTGGTCAACAAGCTGTTGGGGTTAGGTGCCTAATATCACAGCTTTGGACATAATCCTTAACAGATTTTATTTGAATTCTTGGAACATTTCACAGAGATATTTGTGTGTGGCGAAGAGCCTTCTACTATTTATTTTGTCTCCTAAAAGCGGTTATACATATTCAAATACAAAGTCTTCTAATTTTGCCATCATCACATGAGCTCTATTTTGCAAGATGATATTGCTTGCAGCTTGAGCTTGGCTGCCAGTTGTGATATATGCTTTGTGTTGAGAAGACTGGGTGCCACTTGTTTTGCCAGCTGATAGCAAAAACTATACATTTTTGTCCACTTTCCCAAAACCTCAGCATAAATGGTATTAGAAGAAAATTGCAGTTGGCACCTCATACCGCAATGATTATTGCAAGCATTTTCATGATGCCCATAACAAGGGATTCTTGACCAAAACAATTTTGGCTGATTATAATAATTTGGATGCATCATGTATAAGTACTGAGTATGCTTAAAGATGAATTAAAGAAATTATGTTACCTGGGCTTCTTTTGTAGAACTTCTCCTGTGCTCTTGTGTAAGACACTACAAAGCCTCTCCACAGTGGCTGGTTCATTTAATGTTTTATAGTGAAACAATACCTGCCAACAAAAAGTTTGCTAAGATGAGCAGTGTTACATATTCAATAGTTGGTAGTATCCTCTGTAAGCCCACAAAATTTAATTGACATATGCAGGTGGATTTAGTGACCCTGTGGTAATGATGACTTTGTAGGAACCTTAGCCCATGCCCATGTAGGTACATGGGAGGTTTGAGGAAGGGGAAACCATTAATGAAGTATTAAAACAGCTAGTCCGTATAATTGTACTACCGGTATGTATTAACCATTTAGTGAAATAAAACTGTCACACTAATGGCAATTTACATACTTTCTTGATATGCACCAAATTTCCACATATATTTTATACTTGGCACATTGAAATTTATTTTACACGCTAGAAATGTAGCTTGCCCAAAGGGCAAGTTAAAAAAATGATTTTCTTTGCACCCTAGTAAGATCTGTGAAAAATCCTCAAACAAGTCTGATTTCTGAGTCAGAAGTGAGGCAGTTACTCACCATAAATCCTTTTGTGATTGGAACACGAATGTTAAAAACTAAAATACGAGCTCTCAGTTTTGTAGTGCACTTGATAGGTGAAGAGGGTATACACAAAACACTTCCAACTCTGAAGAGTAAAAAAGAAAGGACATTATCGTTTATTACACAACCTTAATTCTGAGCTAAGAACTGACAACTCTTTTAATAAGTTAATTTGAAACATAATGTTTACAAATGGCTGGAAGCTTCACCAAGCCAAATGAATCATAGTATACAGTATTGCCATATTATTTATTATAACAAAATGTTTGCAATGCTTGTGTTAGACCTTTCAGCTTGAGATGATACATTTTTCATGGCTAGTCTTGCACAGCTCGTTTCATTCCCAGCCAAGGGACTCATCAGAGACCTTTCCGCTCAGCAAACTCATTGGGCATTGTGCCCAAAGTCCCATTTGTTAACAAAGTGATGACCGCAATCTCGCCTTACATCACGGCTGCATAAGACTGGCCACAAACAATGTATTATCACAAGTAACTGTCAACTTTCTTGTCAACTTTCAGCTTGAGAAATAAAAAAAATGTTTCAGATAAATCAATATTTACCCAAGATGCATCATGTCCAAGCCTGATAATACCAGTGTCAACTGATCGCCAGCATATGCTAATTGTACTGGATCATCATGTACACTCAGTCCTATGTCAACATATCATAAAATATTAAGCTGCCAAAACTAAGTAATTTTACTTGTCAATACCACGAAGAAACTTTTAAAATTCAAACTAGTCATTGTATACAAAGTATTTCTTTTTCCATACTTTGAATAAGCTCTTTAGCTTTCATTGCAAATGAGTAACAATGATCATAGATCAGGGAATTGCATTTGCAGTCACAATCCTATTTTAGAGCTGCATTGTTCAGTAATCCTCCTTAATCTACAGAATCAAGAAAACTGGCTAATAATACTTTAACTACCATAAAAAGTTGCTTTGTGACTGCATCTAATTTTGGTTGGTTAAATGGTAGTCAGAACAAGATGTCTCTTTTTCCTGTTATGTTTAAATCTTCCTCCAAGAGGTCCCCTGTTAGTCAAATGAGTCATGAGTCACTGGTCAAATTCCACTCCAGTAAGCAAGAAACTTAAAAAACACTTTGGTTACCCTTAATAGCCTTAATTTTGGTTTCAAAGCCTAAAGACAGTCATGTAGAACTTGGGTCAGCCTAAATAAGGACTCTGGTGCATCTGAATAGCACTTGGCTGGTTAGCCTGAATAGTGCTCTAGTAAGTCTGAATTTCACTTACTATGTGAATATAGATTAGCCTGCATAGTAACTTGGTTGGTCTGAATAGTACTCTGGATAGCCTGAATAGCACTCTGGTTAGCCCTAACAATTAATTCTTGCGTTAGGTTGTTTACGTTAGCATAATGACGATGGTAACATAATAATGTATACTTGAATGAACTATTGACTCATTGACTCACAGACTCATATGACTCATCCACACACAGCGACCACATTTCTGGAATCCTCTTGCCAAAGTCATTAATGGGACAATGAGATTGGCTGATTCAAGGCACATTATATAGTATCCAGTGAGCAGTTGAAAAAATAAACCACAAAAGTTTCAGTCATTGCTAAAAACATGTTGCTTGTTTTTCTGTGGGAAGTATTTACAAGACTTCCTGAGGCAACAAGTTTGCTTTGTGATTGTTCTTTTAATTTGTGTTGCATGTTCTGAGATTTGATCAGCAGGGTCTGGAAACTAAGATAAGCTTTGTGTTTAGGTAATATTGACCTTTCAGTGTCAATATAAACACCTCATCTAAAATCCTTAAGCTAGGTGCATGTAACTGACATTTCTTTTGCCTTAAGTCTGTAGTATGGGGTTAAACACTGCATGATGACCATCATCAAAGCTTCATGGCCAGGAAGCCTTGTGTGACTGTTATTTCACAGTTGTTGCTTTGCATTTAGTGGTAATTTAGATGTTTACATAATAAAACAACACTTCTCTGCACTGTAGGGTGCAACATTGTATGATGATCACAATAAAGGCTTGATGTGAAGAAGACAACCGTAACACACTGTACACTCACCCTTCACCAGTCCTTGCTTCCCTGCTGGCATGACAACAACCTTGTCACCAATTTGAAGTTTACCAGCTTCTAGCTTTCCAGTAACATTTATTCCAGTTCCCATTCCTAGAATAAGAAAATTTCTCACAAATCATGTCTTTACATATTAAGATATTTTGATTGTAACAATTAAAGCTAAAAAAAAACATTATTGAATTCTCCATACTAATCACTGCATATCCCCAACAGTGTTTTCCTTAGCTCAAGTGTTGGTAGTGGTGCAGTAGCCTAATGGTTGGTGTACTGGACTCTGGATCTAGCAGTCTAGGCTCAAGTCCTACACACTGTTCATACATTAAGTCCTTTGAAAGTTGGCAATGACAGACTTTTACATGCCTGACCCCCTTAGATCTTCAATTGGTGGCAAGTAACTAACATTGTTGTTGCCTCTCAGCTTGCAGATGATGGATTGTATTTCCCATATCTCAAGTGTGACGAACTATGCATACCTGTAATTAGGTGTTATTATGATTGTTGTTAATGTCGTAAGTGCACATGCACATATCCGGTATTTAAGATGCAGTCTTGTAATTATGCGTCTTGCGATCAGTTTTGCAATGCAATGGCTAGCGCTGTTTGTGTGCCATTAAAGACAACATTTTACCGTTATCTTCCGTTACATGGTGTCAGGAGTGGGATGATCTCCAATGGCTTATCTTCAGTCGTTGCCTGCGCCTCATGCTCTCCATATTAATGACTCCAATGTCACTGAGAAATGGAATGAACGCAAGGAAATGTGGCTTCACTACAGTGTAGCGGCTAAAGTCAACAAAGGAGATGGCCAGGTTCAAGTTGCCACGTTCCTCACAGAGATAGGTCCTGAAGCAAGGAAAGTCTTTAAAACATGGAATTTAACCGCTACAGAGAAGAAGGACATCGATGCTGTCATCGAGCGATTCGACAAT